TAACCATATTATGAGCTGACTGTGAAACTTCATGTATGGAAGCCCTAAACAGCCAAATACAGTTGGGGTTTACCAAAAGTGAACACGTCGTAGGCTATGTGCTGTTGATTCCTGTCGGTTGTACTGCATACAGTTTTATGATGGAGGAGTATTGACATATTTATTTGGTCGTGCTGAACGTCATTTACACATGGAAACTATGGAGGCCCTGCTGCGTGTTACGGCGACAGTACCATGTTTGGTAATTGATCTTCGATCATACTGTTTGAGACCTTCGCGGATGTCTAATCACTTGTTATGCCTTGACATTTACTGATGGTTGTTCATTTATCGTGGAACTGTGCCATTTGCAGTCCTGTATCTTAGTCTGGTGATTTGGACACTTTCAGTCGCTTTATGGTACCACAGGGGTAACATTTCAGTTGTTTCGACGGAAGGAATCACAGACATGCGTGGGCTATTCGTGAAAACCGGAAACCAGAAGGAGCTCATATATGAGCTGTAGGGTTATTTAGGGTGTTACTAGATTAGGGCTTATATGGTTTAGGTAGTAGCTTATTCTATAATATCTTCGTATTTTCATAGTTGTGTTTTAGTTGATTGGTGTGAAAATCATTATTGGTATTGTGAATCGGTCGTGTGAGAGATCTGCTTCTGATAGGGGTACCATATGTATATTGTGTACAGTAGCCGTTGTAAATTGTAATAAATGTAAATATTATAAACTGTTGTTCTCTCTTGTGTTACAATCCATTGTTTCGGTTAGGTTACAATGTTAATTCAGTTTCATACGCAGTCGAGCAAAGGATACCCCTCTGCAGCAACAGGTCACCATACATAGCGACGCACTGCAAGAGTGGTAACCGTGGTGTCGCAAACTCTGAGCTGAACGAACTTTTATCAATTTTGTTGCATCAAAACTTTTCTTCCAGAGTTTACCGATATCATCACATCTCATGATATCTTTATTCTTGTTAAAACTGACTGTGTTTATGTCCTTAATTTACCACATGGTTGTTCATATTTCATAAGCTTGATAGATTGTTTAAATTTGCTTCTACACGTACTGATTCTGAACACGTTCACGGTCAGAGTGTCTAAAATAAGTAGTAGTGCAGGAAATTTACTTTTAGGTTGTATTTATATACCAAAAAACAACACTCCGTACTCGTCTCCTGAGGCATTTAATGAAATTGAAAATGGGTTGCATGAACCAATTAAATTTTAGTATTATAATGTTAATTGATGATTTTAATGCCGAAACTGGACAACACCCAGATTATAATATATCAATTCTTTTAATTGATAATGATTATATTGATATTCTATATGACTTTTTGGACGATTATGACTATTTGTCTTTGTTGAACGATATTTTATAGCGTTCTAACCAATGTGTATCTAGACCTAATAATTATTGGTATAAATCACACGAATTATGTAGAAATAGTTACTTGTATATAGCAAATGGTAGAAATGGTAAAGATCAAAATGTTGGGAAAACATTTGGCGATACCATTGTAATTGTCTGTAACACACTCCATACAAATCAAATGATCGTCATATTATTTAAAGGCATAAATAAATCCTTTCCCCCGATGACGGGGACAACAAAGTACATGTGCCTGGCCCTGAGCCGCCGTGTCGTCGTAACTCTGTCACAAGGTTAAGATGGCGGCGATACTATTTCGTTTTTAGGTATTTCATAGTTTCGTGTTCAAGGAATATGATAGTATGTTCTATATAAAGTAACATATGTTGATTTTAAATTTTTTGAAGTTTTGTCACAGTAAACTGACAGAAAACTTAACCGATTGCGATTAAGAATTTGAATCTATTCAAATTTGATGGTGACTGATATCCGAACTTCTCAAAAATAGTTTGGTAATTAGTTAGAAGTATGCCCTAGGTACTCCTGTCAACTGTATCCATTAAAAGATTAGAAATGGGTTTGCATGTACATTGTTTAACGAGGAGTGAAGGAATACCAGTGTCTAGTCCTATGATATGCGAGAAATCGCAGATGTTTGACAAAACATTATATTAAATTGTTATTGAAAAGGGCATGGTGGTTTTCTACAGTATTTGCTATGTTTTAATATATAAAAGACATTTCCGAGGAATTATTTCTTCCATGTTAACCGATCATAAAAATTGTAAGGCTATTTTGTATAAAGTCCCATTAAAACATCCTTGGCAGGTGCTAACAGGGTTTGGCGCGGTAGGCATTTAATCTGACCAAAGGACATATGACACTTGACTACTAGACGAAAGTGATAACGACAGATGTATGAAAACAGTTTGTCCTAACCAACTTATATTGTCTCTCTGTCCATTTTTCTGTATTTGCGTGTTACCTCGAATTGCGATTATTTTAACGTTATTTTTGTAGGGTTTTTAAGTATTTGGTAACCTGAGCGATCGCCATTACGCTGGCCAATCGGATTTTGGTTTTAGCTCATCTGGTCCGAAGGACTAGTGAGCGTTTAGGATATACTGAGGGTGTCTGTCCTCGTCCGTCCGTCAACGTTTTCTACAGCTCGCTTCTAGTCATGAACGACTTACGGATTTTGACCAATTTTTTTCCGAAAACAGAAAATAGAGCAAATTCTTTCAAATACTACATCTCCTGTGTGAATAAATGGATTTTGTTCCAAATTTGGTCAGAAACAATGATCTGCGTGACAGATGAAAGAGTCCTGACTATTTGAAATGAGATATGAGATATCTTCTTAACCAAATAGGATAAACAATTTACATGATAATCCAGTTTTCTTTTCTACTATTTGACGTTTTATTAACTTAGCTAGATAAACCTATTTAGTCAGTTTGAGTTAGGAAATATTTCTCTATTTTAATAAATATGATACTTTATTTGGTAATCTGGATTTCGTTTTAGTAAAGTAGATACATCTAATCATTAAATGAAATCTCTCATAAACGAAAGATATGTTACAAACAATAAGATACATTTACAATTAGCTAGTAAATCAGATATCTGATTTAATTCAGTCAAATGCTTGATCAAAGTTGCTCCATGAATAAATAACAATTTTGCTTGCCACAAGTCAATAATAATATCCTGTTTCCGGAAATAAATTCGTATGAAACCAGAGTAATTCCGGATATGACAAAACACTGATTATTTTTAATGTTTATTTACAAAAACATTTCTACTTGTCTGTTGTCAATATGTGTATATAGGCAGCTGTGTTACATAGCAATGTCGATCGTTTGTTGACAAAAATAGTGTACATACACAATCAGTACAACTTATGCATGTTTTTGTCTTCACGTTGACCGGTATTACACGACGGAAATATAAGGTTGTTTTCCACGTATATAAATCTGTTTCTGGACAGTAACCGTCAACATGTTCAATAACTTAAAACAAGCAGGCGAATATCAGGAAAAGATGCTTAGCACACTTTGAAAGTATTTTGTGACCTTAAAATTAAGTGTGAGCAGACAGAAAAAAACTGAAGATTCCTTACCGGGCAAAATATTTAAAATATTGAGCTTTTAATCTCTACTTCTGTCAGTCATTGTCAATGAAATAATGTCTCGTAATTTCATCAATTATAAAATAATACAAAATACAAATGAGTGTAATTTTAATCTTTATTAATCAAACATACACTGTATATATATATACATATATATAAGCAATAACATGTACCATTTTCTTAATCAGAAATAAATATAGTCCATAGTTTAAATTTAGATTAAGGTAAAAATTATGATACATATTAATTTCAATATACACCCCACAAACTAAATCAACAAATCGTTATTATCATAATTAAGAAAAACTGCAGATATTGCTATCGTCACTAGTTCTAGAATCATGCATAACAAGTATTTGCCTAGTGTACATTAACTGTATATTTTTGACTACAGTATTGTCAGTGTGTATATCTATGCATTGCTTCAAGTCAATTGTAAGAGAAAAATAAATTTCAAAGTATTTTTTTACCACAATTAAATAAAAAACAAAAAACAATACACACATCTTGTGAAAATCATCACCTTCTATTCAAAATCTTCAAAATTAGATAAGAATGGTTTACAGCAATAAACAAAACATAAGTCATAATGTTAATATCATCATAGAAATTAAAAGCAGGAATAGAACTCTATAAAAATAGGAAAATAATTCTAAATGAATTAATATATAGGATACTTGATACATACAATGGGTAGCAAATTGATTATTTGATTGATGATATCACGTGAATTACACGAATGAGGAATGAAAGTTTACTTCATAGTTTGAATTTAAAACACGAATAGTTACGTAAGCAAAAGTGTAAATGTGAAGATAAACTCGGCCATACTGATTATCTAATGTACACACTCAAGAACAGGCGTAATCCGGACCACTATAAATAGTAACAGTGTTGGCTAATAAATGACATACAATCTACACGGGAATATCAGACGTCCAGTTCAGTCACGTGTTTTTTATCTCGTTTTATTCAAACATTCAGTGTATAATATTTTGGATTTATATATAGCCGCTCAAGTTTGAAAGGTGTGAACTACACACGCGAATTTAAGTCCTTGACAATTCAAAAAGTGACGAGAAAATGAAGACAAAATTCTTAACATACTGATTTGTACAATATTTACATGTAAGTCGCCAGCATCCGATAGCGGCTTCTAGGAACTCCAAATAAAAAGAGTGTTTCATTTATTGACGGCAGTCTGTAAAGTGAGCAAAGAAATTTGAAATGGGGAATAATTTCAGAATGAAATCTATGGCTTTGGTCAACATGTATACTTATTGTGTGCCCACCTGGAAATAGGTTATATCGAGCATGAAGATAACATACAAGTTTACCACCGAGAAGAATATGACACCTCGTTTATTTATCCACATCACCTTGTAAAGTGCTAAATGAAAATATCGATGCTTCCTGCATATCAGTCTGAATGACATCAACTTTATGGTATTAAGTCTATGTATAAAGTCCACGTTTTTTTACAATGCTGTCTACTGTACTTACGGTTACGTCTGGTACAGCACAGAGAAACGAGGTCGGTGTAGCCTATTTAGTGAAGTGTTATATACAAAATGTCTATGTATATTTGTATTGTAATATCTTAATTCTTCTGCCCCTGTGTCCGACCCAAATTGTACCGTCCTCGTGTAGACTGATACACTTAGGTACAGCTCCGTCAGTATAAATAGTCCTCATACAGCGTCCAGTGTTCCTGTCAATCAGTAGTACTGACTTGGTGATCCATTCCGTTACAAGGACATCACCAGCTCCGTCAAAACAAACATCAAACGGATAAAACTTTGATGACTGAGTAGAACTTCGGTTTGGATTGGTCGTACTGATGTCTTTACAGTGAAACTTCAGGTTCAGGTGTTTATCCATCACGATGACGTACGGTTGTTTGTCTGGTTCCTTACCAGCCATGTAGTTATCAAAAAACACGTCATCACGGTCAACAACAGCTACGTCACTGGTCTGTTTACATGACGTCATGTGATGAGGAAATACTGCCACCTGTCTACAAGGACCTCCTGCTCTAGATGATACCGCCCGTCCGTCTGTAGTGAACAGCTGTATTCCTCCCTTCATCCCCACCACTACCATGTCATCACTGGTCATACAAAGAGCACGTGGCGTGTCGGTGACGTTGAATTGTTGAACAATATCACCACCTGTCGTGATTTCCCAGATACTTCTGTCATCACACACACAGAACCACACCCTGCCTGTTGTCGGGGATATGGATATCGAATCGACTTTAACCTTACAATCGATCTTCTCCTTCACTCTGCCTTCAGTATCCACCCGGTACACACTATCACTGTCCCAGTACGATAGCCACGCCTCGTCACCAGTAAGACCCCTACGACATACATCGCAAGAAATTGGCGTCTTGAACTCGTCAAGAACCACGGGGGTCGGAATCGGTTTGTATGACTGATCCTGTCCGTCGACGAGTATGTTACCGAACATATGTTCCAACACTTCAGTAGATATGCTTCCGGGTTTGAATTCCACTGTCTGTAATCTACCGGGAGTAGGTGGATCAGTGGAGGTATTCCTGATTTCCCGTACTAACGTTGTGATGTCGACCGTATTGCCATTTTCCAATACTTCCTGGCATCTGTTCAGTTTCGGATTCAAGTCCTCGGTCAGATGTTTGTTTAATGCCGTTTTGTTTTTCTCAGAAGTACTGGCATTTAATTTTTCTAACTCGGTACACATGTTCACTAACATATCGATATTTCTGTCGATATCGTCTTTCATCTTTTCCCCCTGACGTTTAATGTCTCTGATAACTGCCTGATATTTTCCCCCGTTTGTCTCATTCTCCCGAATATCTTCCTGAACTTTCGGAATGTCGACCTTGGAGAGTTTGTCAACATACTGTTGTATTTCCTGTTTCTGGCTCGTCACATATTCAGCAAGATTTCCGAATGTGTGACCAATGTGACTGTCTGTACCACAATCCATACAAATCAGCTGATCGTCACACGATTTACAGACATAAATAAATCCTTTCCCCTGATGACGGGGACAACCAGGTACTGGGATCTGGCCCTGAACCGCCATGTCGTCGTGCCCCTGTCACAAGGTTAAAATGGCGGCGATACATGTAGGTACTTAAAAGTTTCGTGTTCCGTGATTATAACAGGATGTTCTATTTAAAGTAACGCGTGTTAATTCAGTTTCATAAGCAGTCGAGCAAAAGATACTCCTCTGGTGCAACAGGTCACCATACATAGCGACGCACTGCAAGAGTGGTAACCGTGGTGTCGCAAACTCTGAGCTGAACGAACTTTTATCAATTTTGTTGCATCAAAACTTTTCTTCCAGAGTTTACCGATATCATCACATCTCATGATATCTTTATTCTTGTTAAAACTGACTGTGTTTATGTCCTTAATTTATCACATGGTTGTTCATATTTCATAAGCTTGATAGATTGTTTAAATTTGCTTCTACACGTACTGATTCTGAACACGTTCACGGTCAGAGTGTCTAAAATAAGTAGTAGTGCAGGAAATTTACTTTTAGGTTGTATTTATATACCAAAAAACAACACTCCGTACTCGTCTCCTGAGGCATTTAATGAAATTGAAAATGGGTTGCATGAACCAATTAAATTTTAGTAATATAATGTTAATTGATGATTTTAATGCCGAAACTGGACAACACCCAGATTATAATATATCAATTCTTTTAATTGATAATGATTATATTGATATTCTATATGACTTTTTGGACGATTATGACTATTTGTCTTTGTTGAACGATATTTTATAGCGTTCTAACCAATGTGTATCTAGACCTAATAATTATTGGTATAAATCACACGAATTATGTAGAAATAGTTACTTGTATATAGCAAATGGTAGAATTGGTAAAGATCAAAATGTTGGGAAAACATTTGGCGATACCATTGTAATTGTCTGTAACACACTCCATACAAATCAAATGATCGTCATATTATTTAAAGGCATAAATAAATCCTTTCCCCCGATGACGGGGACAACAAAGTACATGTGCCTGGCCCTGAGCCGCCGTGTCGTCGTAACTCTGTCACAAGGTTAAGATGGCGGCGATACTATTTCCTTTTTAGGTATTTCATAGTTTCGTGTTCAAGGAATATGATAGTATGTTCTATATAAAGTAACATATGTTGATTTTAAATTTTTTGAAGTTTTGTCACAGTAAACTGACAGAAAACTTAACCGATTGCGATCAAGAATTTGAATCTATTCAAATTTGATGGTGACTGATATCCGAACTTTTCAAAAATAGTTTGGTAATTAGTTAGAAGTATGCCCTAGGTACTCCTGTCAACTGTATCCATTAAAAGATTAGAAATGGGTTTGCATGTACATTGTTTAACGAGGAGTAAAGGAATACCAGTGTCTAGTCCTATGATATGCGATATGATATGATATATAAAAGACATTTCCGAGGAATTATTTCTTCCATGTTAACCGATCATAAAAATTGTAATGCTATTTTGTATAAAGTCCCATTAAAACATCCTTGGCAGGTGCTAACAGGGTTTGGCGCGGTAGGCATTTAATCTGACCAAAGGACATATGACACTTGACTACTAGACGAAAGTGATAACGACAGATGTATGAAAACAGTTTGTCCTAACCAACTTATATTGTCTCTCTGCCCATTTTTCTGTATTTGCGTGTTACCTCGAATTGCGATTATTTTAACATTATTTTTGTAAGGTTTTTAAGTATTTGGTAACCTGAGCGATTGCCATTACGCTGGCCAATCGGATTTTGGTCCGAAGGACTAGTGAGCGTTTAGGATATACTGAGGGTGTCTGTCCTCGTCTGTCCGTCAACGTTTTCTACAGCTCGCTTCTAGTCATGAACGACTTACGGATTTTGACCAATTTTTTTCCGAAAACAGAAAATAGAGCAAATTCTTTCAAATACTACATCTCCTGTGTGAATAAATAGATTTTGTTCCAAATTTGGTCAGAAACAATGATCTGCGTGACAGATGAAAGAGTCCTGACTATTTGAAATGAGATATGAGATATCTTCTTAACCACATAGGATAAACAATTTACATGATAATCCAGTTTTCTTTTCTACTATTTGACGTTTTATTAACTTAGCTAGATAAACCTATTTAGTCAGTTAGAGTTAGGAAATATTTATCTATTTTAATAAATATGATACTTTATTTGGTAATCTGGATTTCGTTTTAGTAAAGTAGATACATCTAATCATTAAATGAAATCTCTCATAAACGAAAGATATGTTACAAAAAATAAGATACATTTACAATTAGCTAGTAAATCAGATATCTGATTTAATTCAGTCAAATGCTTGATCAAAGTTGCTCCATGAATAAATAACAATTTTGCTTGCCACAAGTCAATAATAATATCCTGTTTCCGGAAATAAATTCGTATGAAACCAGAGTAATTCCGGATATGACAAAACACTGATTATTTTTAATGTTTATTTACAAAAACATTTCTACTTGTCTGTTGTCAATATGTGTATATAGGCAGCTTCTATTGTCAAACTAAGTATCCGACACGATTTTTAATCCAAAACTCGGTATATCTTAAATAAGACATTCTATATTATATATATCTATATATACTCAGAATTAATTCTATTCGTTTATTTTAGTTATTTTGCTGATACTGTGTTACATAGCAATATCGATCGTTTGTTGACAAAATAGTGTACATACACAATCAGTACAACTTATGCATGTTTTTGTCTTCACGTTGACCGGTATTACACGACGGAAATATAAGGTTGTTTTCCACGTATATAAATCTGTTTCTGGACAGTAACCGTCAACATGTTCAATAACATAAAACAAGCAGGCGAATATCAGGAAAAGATGCTTAGCACACTTTGAAAGTATTTTGTGACCTTAAAATTAAGTGTGAGCAGACAGAAAAAAACTGAAGATTCCTTACCGGGCAAAATATTTAAAATATTGAGCTTTTAATCTCTACTTCTGTCAGTCATTGTCAATGAAATAATGTCTCGTAATTTCATCAATTATAAAATAATACAAAATACAAATGAGTGTATTTTTAATCTTTATTAATCAAACATACACTGTATATATATATACATATATATAAGCAATAACATGTACCATTTTCTTAATCAGAAATAAATATAGTCCATAGTTTAAATTTAGATTAAGGTAAAAATTATGATACATATTAATTTCAATATACACCCCACAAACTAAACAAATCGTTATCATCATAATTAAGAAAAACTGCAGATATTGTTATCGTCACTAGTTCTAGAATCATGCATAACAAGTATTTGCCTAGTGTACATTAACTGTATATTTTTGACTACAGTATTGTCAGTGTGTATATCTATGCATTGCTTCAAGTCAATTGTAAGAGAAAAATAAATTTCAAAGTATTTTTTACCACAATTAAATAAAAAACAAAAAACAGTACACACATCTTGTGAAAATCATCAACTTCTATTCAAAATCTTCAAAATTAGATAAGAATGGTTTACAGCAATAAACAAAACATAAGTCATAATGTTAATATCATCATAGAAATTAAAAGCAGGAATAGAACTCTATAAAAATAGGAAAATAATTCTAAAAGAATTAATACATAGGGTACTTGATACATACAATGGGTAGCAAATTGATTATTTGATTGATGATATCACGTGAATTACACGAATGAGGAATGAAAGTTTACTTCATAGTTTGAATTTAAAACACGAATAGTTACGTAAGCAAAAGTGTAAATGTGAAGATAAACTCGGCCATACTAATTATCTAATGTACACACTCAAGAACAGGCGTAATCCGGACCACTATAAATAGTAACAGTGTTGGCTAATAAATGACATACAATCTACACGGGAATATCAGACGTCCAGTTCAGTCACGTGTTTTTTATCTCGTTTTATTCAAACATTCAGTGTATAATACTTTGGATTGATATATAGCCGCTCAAGTTTGAAAGGTGTGAACTACACACGCGAATTTAAGTCCTTGACAATTCAAAAAGTGACGAGAAAATGAAGACAAAATTCTTAACATACTGATTTGTACAATATTTACATGTAAGTCGCCAGCATCCGATAGCGGCTTCTAGGAACTCCAAATAAAAAGAGTGTTTCATTTATTGACGGCAGTCTGTAAAGTGAGCAAAGAAATTTGAAATGGGGAATAATTTCAGAATGAAATCTATGGCTTTGGTCAACATGTATACTTATTGTGTGCCCACCTGGAAATAGGTTATATCGAGCATGAAGATAACATACAAGTTTACCATCGAGAAGAATATGACACCTCGTTTATTTATCCACATCACCTTGTAAAGTGCTAAATGAAAATATCGATGCTTCCTGCATATCAGTCTGAATGACATCAACTTTATGGTATTAAGTCTATGTATAAAGTCCACGTTTTTTACAATGCTGTCTACTGTACTTACGGTTACGTCTGGTACAGCACAGAGAAACGAGGTCGGTGTAGCCTATTTAGTGAAGTGTTATATACAAAATGTCTATGTATATTTGTATTGTAATATCTTAATTCTTCTGCCCCTGTGTCCGACCCAAATTGTACCGTCCTCGTGTAGACTGATACACTTAGGTACAGCTCTGTCAGATGTATAAATAGTCCTCATACAGCGTCCAGTGTTCCTGTCAATCAGTAGTACTGACTTGGTGATCCATTCCGTTACAAGGACATCACCAGCTCCGTCAAAACAAACATCAAACGGATAAAAATTTGATGACTGAGTAGAACTTCGGTTTGGATTGGTCGTACCGATGTCTTTGCAGTGAAACTTCAGGTTGAGGTGTTTATCCATCACGATGACGTACGGTTGTTTGTCTTGTTCCTTACCAGCCATGTAGTTATCAAAAAACATGTCATCACGGTCAACAACAGCTACGTCACTGGTCTGTTTACATGACGTCATGTGATGAGGAAATACTGCCACCTGTCTACAAGGACCTCCTGCTCTAGATGATACCGCCCGTCCGTCTGTAGTGAACAGCTGTATTCCTCCCATCATCCCCACCACTACCATGTCATCACTGGTCATACAAAGAGCACGTGGCGTGTCGGTGACGTTGAATTGTTGAACAATATCACCACCTGTCGTGATTTCCCAGATACTTCTGTCATCACGCACACAGAACCACACCCTGCCTGTTGTCGGGGATATGGATATCGAATCGACTTTAACCTTACAATCGATCTTCTCCTTCACTCTGCCTTTAGTATCCACCCGGTACACACTATCACTTTTCCAGTACGATAGCCACGCCTCGTCACCAGTAAGACCCCTACGACATACATCGCAAGAAATTGGCGTCTTGAACTCGTCAAGAACCACGGGGGTCGGAATCGGTTTGTATGACTGATCCTGTCCGTCGACTAGTATGTTACCGAACATATGTTCCAACAGTTTAGTAGATATGCTTCCGGGTTTGAATTCCACTGTCTGTAATCTACCGGGAGTAGGTGGATCAGTGGAGGTATTCCTGATTTCCCGTACTAACGTTGTGATGTCGACCGTATTGCCATTTTCCAATACTTCCTGGCATCTGTTCAGTTTCGGATTCAAGTCCTCGGTCAGATGTTTGTTTAATGCCGTTTTGTTTTTCTCAGAAATAGTCGCATTCAATTTTTCTAACTCGGTACACATGTTCACTAACATATCGATATTTCTGTCGATATCGTCTTTCATCTTTTCCCCCTGACGTTTAATGTCTCTGATAACTGCCTGATATTTTCCCCCGTTTGTCTCATTCTCCCGAATATCTTCCTGAACTTTCGGAATGTCGACCTTGGAGAGTTTGTCAACATACTGTTGTATTTCCTGTTTCTGGCTCGTCACATATTCAGTGAGTTTTCCCGATGTGTGACCATTGTGACTGTCTGTAACACAATCCATACAAATCAGCTGATCGTCACACGATTTACAGACATAAATAAATCCTTTCCCCTGATGACGGGGACAACCAGGTACTGGGATCTGGCCCTGAACCGCCATGTCGTCGTGCCCCTGTCACAAGGTTAAAATGGCGGCGATACATGTAGGTACTTGAAAGTTTCGTGTTCCGTGAATATAACAGGATGTTCTATTTAAAGTAACGCGTGTTAATTCAGTTTCATAAGCAGTCGAGCAAAAGATACTCCTCTGGTGCAACAGGTCACCATACATAGCGACACACTGCAAGAGTGGTAGCCGTGGTGTCGCAAACTCTGAGCTGAACGAACTTTTATCAATTTTGTTGCATCAAAACTTTTCTTCCAGAGTTTACCGATATCATCACATCTCATGATATCTTTATTCTTGTTAAAACTTACTGTGTTTATGTCCTTAATTTATCACATGGTTGTTCATATTTCATAAGCTTGATAGATTGTTTAAATTTGCTTCTACACGTACTGATTCTGAACACGTTTACGGTCAGAGTGTCTAAAATAAGTAGTAGTGCAGGAAATTTACTTTTAGGTTGTATTTATATACCAAAAAACAACACTCCGTACTCGTCTCCTGAGGCATTTAATGAAATTGAAAATGGGTTGCATGAACCAATTAAATTTTAGTAATATAATGTTAATTGATGATTTTAATGCCGAAACTGGACAACACCCAGATTATAATATATCAATTCTTTTAATTGATAATGATTATATTGATATTCTATATGACTTGGACGATTATGACTATTTGTCTTTGTTGAACGATATTTTATAGCGTTCTAACCAATGTGTATCTAGACCTAATAATTATTGGTATAAATCACACGAATTATGTAGAAATAGTTACTTGTATATAGCAAATGGTAGAATTGGTAAAGATCAAAATGTTGGGAAAACATTTGGCGATACCATTGTAATTGTCTGTAACACACTCCATACAAATCAAATGATCGTCATATTATTTAAAGGCATAAATAAATCCTTTCCCTCGATGACGGGGACAACAAAGTACATGTGCCTGGCCCTGAGCCGCCGTGTCGTCGTAACTCTGTCACAAGGTTAAGATGGCGGCGATACTATTTCCTTTTTAGGTATTTCATAGTTTCGTGTTCAAGGCATATGATAGTATGTTCTATATAAAGTAACATATGTTGATTTTAAATTTTTTGAAGTTTTGTCACAGTAAACTGACAGAAAACTTAACCGATTGCGATTAAGAATTTGAATCTATTCAAATTTGATGGTGACTGATATCCGAACTTCTCAAAAATAGTTTGGTAATTAGTTAGAAGTATGCCCTAGGTACTCCTGTCAACTGTATCCATTAAAAGATTAGAAATGGGTTTGCATGTACATTGTTTAACGAGGAGTGAAGGAATACCAGTGTCTAGTCCTATGATATGCGAGAAATCGCAGATGTTTGACAAAACATTATATTAAATTGTTATTGAAAAGGGCATGGTGGTTTTCTACAGTATTTGCTATGTTTTAATATATAAAAGACATTTCCGAGGAATTATTTCTTCCATGTTAACCGATCATAAAAATTGTAAGGCTATTTTGTATAAAGTCCCATTAAAACATCCTTGGCAGGTGCTAACAGGGTTTGGCGCGGTAGGCATTTAATCTGACCAAAGGACATATGACACTTGACTACTAGACGAAAGTGATAACGACAGATGTATGAAAACAGTTTGTCCTAACCAACTTATATTGTCTCTCTGTCCATTTTTCTGTATTTGCGTGTTACCTCGAATTGCGATTATTTTAACGTTATTTTTGTAGGGTTTTTAAGTATTTGGTAACCTGAGCGATCGCCATTACGCTGGCCAATCGGATTTTGGTTTTAGCTCATCTGGTCCGAAGGACAGTGAGCGTTTAGGATATACTGAGGGTGTCTGTCCTCGTCCGTCCGTCAACGTTTTCTACAGCTCGCTTCTAGTCATGAACGACTTACGGATTTTGACCAATTTTTTTCCGAAAACAGAAAATAGAGCAAATTCTTTCAAATACTACATCTCCTGTGTGAATAAATGGATTTTGTTCCAAATTTGGTCAGAAACAATGATCTGCGTGACAGATGAAAGAGTCCTGACTATTTGAAATGAGATATGAGATATCTTCTTAACCAAATAGGATAAACAATTTACATGATAATCCAGTTTTCTTTTCTACTATTTGACGTTTTATTAACTTAGCTAGATAAACCTATTTAGTCAGTTTGAGTTAGGAAATATTTCTCTATTTTAATAAATATGATACTTTATTTGGTAATCTGGATTTCGTTTTAGTAAAGTAGATACATCTAATCATTAAATGAAATCTCTCATAAACGAAAGATATATTACAAACAATAAGATACATTTACAATTAGCTAGTAAATCAGATATCTGATTTAATTCAGTCAAATGCTTGATCAAAGTTGCTCCATGAATAAATAACAATTTTGCTTGCCACAAGTCAATAATAATATCCTGTTTCCGGAAATAAATTCGTATGAAACCAGAGTAATTCCGGATATGACAAAACACTGATTATTTTTAATGTTTATATACAAAAACATTTCTACTTGTCTGTTGTCAATATGTGTAGATAGGCAGCTTCTATTGTCAAACTAAGTATCCGACACGATTTTTAATCCAAAACTCGGTATATCTTAAATAAGACATTCTATATTATATATATCTATATATACTCAGAATTAATTCTATTCGTTTATTTTAGTTATTTTGCTGATACTGTGTTACATAGCAATATCGATCGTTTGTTGACAAAATAGTGTACATACACAATCAGTACAACTTATGCATGTTTTTGTTTTCACGTTGACCGGTATTACACGACGGAAATATAAGGTTGTTTTCCACGTATATAAATCTGTTTCTGGACAGTAACCGTCAACATGTTCAATAACATAAAACAAGCAGGCGAATATCAGGAAAAGATGCTTAGCACACTTTGAAAGTATTTTGTGACCTTAAAATTAAGTGTGAGCAGACAGAAAAAAACTGAAGATTCCTTACCGGGCAAAATATTTAAAATATTGAGCTTTTAATCTCTACTTCTGTCAGTCATTGTCAATGAAATAATGTCTCGTAATTTCATCAATTATAAAATAATACAAAATACAAATGAGTGTATTTTTAATCTTTATTAATCAAACATACACTGTATATATATATACATATATATAAGCAATAACATGTACCATTTTCTTAATCAGAAATAAATATAGTCCATAGTTTAAATTTAGATTAAGGTAAAAATTATGATACATATTAATTTCAATATACACCCCACAAACTAAACAAATCGTTATCATCATAATTAAGAAAAACTGCAGATATTGTTATCGTCACTAGTTCTAGAATCATGCATAACAAGTATTTGCCTAGTGTACATTAACTGTATATTTTTGACTACAGTATTGTCAGTGTGTATATCTATGCATTGCTTCAAGTCAATTGTAAGAGAAAAATAAATTTCAAAGTATTTTTTTACCACAATTAAATAAAAAACAAAAAACAATACACACATCTTGTGAAAATCATCAACTTCTATTCAAAATCTTCAAAATTCGATAAGAATGGTTTACAGCAATAAACAAAACATAAGTCATAATGTTAATATCATCATAGAACTTGAAATCAGGAATAGAAAACTATAAAAAAGGAAAATAATTCTAAAAGAATGAATATATAGGGTACTTGATACATACAATGGGTAGCAAATTGATTATTTGATTGATGATATCACGTGAATTACACGAATGAGGAATGAAAGTTTACTTCATAGTTTGAATTTAAAACACGAATAGTTACGTAAGCAAAAGTGTAAATGTGAAGATAAACTCGGCCATACTGATTATCTAATGTACACATTCAAGAACAGGCGTAATCCGGACCACTATAAATAGTAACAGTGTTGGCTAATAAATGACATACAATCTACACGGGAATATCAGACGTCCAGTTCAGTCACGTGTTTTTTATCTCGTTTTATTCAAACATTCAGTGTATAATACTTTGGATTTATATATAGCCGCTCAAGTTTGAAAGGTGTGAACTACACACGCGAATTTAAGTCCTTGACAATTCAAAAAGTGACGAGAAAATGAAGACAAAATTCTTAACATACTGATTTGTACAATATTTACATGTATGTCGCCAGCATCCGATAGCGGCTTCTAGGAACTCCAAATAAAAAGAGTGATTCATTTATTGAAGGCAGTCTATTATCAAATATAGAGGCCACTTTTCTCTCTGACTGACATTCGTAAACGGTAAAAGGGGGACAACTCAAGAATGAGGAGACCGTAATACAAAAACACGTCTCTGAAACTCTCAATTTAAATCCAACTTTAAAAGGGAAAAATCTTTGTTAACAGCAACTCAACGAGTTCCGTCAATTTGATTTCAGGAAAGGTCTTTTGTTTATTTTTATCATTAATAAGTGAGTAAAAAAAAATTGAAACTGGAATGAAATCTATGGCTTTGGTCAACATGTGTACTTATTGTGTGCCCACCTGGAAATAGGTTATATCGAGCACGATCTCATTCTCCTTGATTTGCATTGAAGATCACATACAAGTTCACCACCTGAAGAATATGACACCTCGTTAATTTTATCCACATCATCTTGTAAATTGTTCAATAAAAATACCGATACTTCCTGCATATCAGTCTGAATGACACCAACTTTATGGTATTAAGTCTATGTATAAAGTCCACGTTCTTTATACAAAGCGGTCTACTGTACTTACGGTTACGTCTGGTACAGCACAGAGAAACGAGGTCGGTGTAGTCTTCTTAGTGACGTGTTATATACAAAATGTCTATGTATTTATTTGTATTGTAGTGTCTTCATTCTGTTGTTCCAGTTTCCGATCCAGAAGGTACTGTCCTCATGTAGACTGATACACGAAGGTGCCTCTCCGTCAGATGTATAAACAGTCCTCATACAGCGTCCAGTGTTCCTGTCAATCAGTAGTACTGACTTGGTGATCCATTCCCTTACAAGGACATCACCAGCTCCGTCAAAACAAACATCAAACGGATAAAACTTTG